ATGGTCCGTACCTTAGACTTTAAATCTATCTAGAGCTTATTGACTGGGGATTATTATTCAGCTATGTTATTAATAGGCTGGGGCGTGTTGGGTTAAACAAGTTTTCGTAGGTAAATAATATTGCTATGGAACTTTTTTTCATGAAAGTGTAATAGAGTATTACTTTCTGTTCGGTGGAATTGTGAAATAGAAGTCAAAAAATACGTTCTTGCTCAATCCTTTGTCGCTTTGAAGGTTTCATGCTTGTCATCCTCAGCCTAAGCAATGTGTTACTTAATTTGAATTTCAAAATGACTGAGTGACGTTTTTTCGACGCACTGGTCAACTCCACCGTAGCGAATCACATGATATTGACATAATCAATAATACATAACAGTAAATACGAGCGAAACATATCTTTATAAGTAAAGAATTGTCGCATAAAAATTAAATACGCGGAAAATGGCAAAGTTCACGAAGTCTAGTCTGATTAATCATTTTACAAAAAAAAAAAAAAAAAAAGTGCAAGCAAAGGGGGGGGGCGTACGCCCTCTACGCCCCCCTCTGGATCCGCCACTGAGAATAACTATACCAGTCAATTATCAAATAACAAATCGACATATAACGGGACGACCATTTGATATTCTAGGAGGGGGAATTGTTTCCAAATAGATCATTTATTTTTATCTGTTTCTACATGCTTGTTTGTTTTTTTTTTTTTATCCTGCCCCTTCAAATAAAACCCAATGATCGTCCCCTTAAGTGATTGTACATTCATTTACACATGCTTATGGCAGTAAATTTATAGATTTATTGCCAGTCTGTAATTGTTCAATAGATGTTCAACTCGAAATCAAACTTCTTTAACATAGACTCTGTGATGACTTTAAAGGTGACTCTGCGTTGACTGTAACAGAGACGCTGTGTTTACTTTAAATTGACTTTATGTACAAATATAATTTATATCTTTTTTTATTATTTTTGTGATGGATTATGTAATGTGTTATTTTGTTTTCATGTATGCCATCATCTCCATTGGGGTATAACTATACATTATTTTCAATAAATAAACTAATCAAGATGTCTCTTGGAATATTGGGTTGTTAGGTTGCTCTCTCACTACATGGTAGAGGCACGGGGGTTACTTCCTATTATTGGGTATACGGGGATGTGCTAAAAATATATAAAAATGACCCTCCTTTTTAATGACATCTTATATTGAAATGCATTTACGTTTGATAACTGTATATTGATTTGGGGTATAATCTACATATCATATCCTTGTGTATGAATATGCTATTGAGAATCTTACACTATTAATGGTCAATTATTATATTAATTTAAATCAATTCATTTGAAAGTTCAACAACCATGCGTATATATAACTATAAAATATGTGTGCACCAAACGATGTCAATTCATATATAATAACTTATGGGTAGCTATATATTTATGAATTATGAGTGATAATATTTATTTAGTGCATAAGCATGTGTCATATTTTAACTATAGGTACTGAATTTTAGTGAATGTTATATTAAATTGGGTACGTTGTTTGAGGCAAAAATGGCACACCCCTACCAAGAAAATATCGAAGTAACCCCCGGCCCGTGGGTAGAGGGTCTGGACGGGGTTTACAAAATAGAGAATAATGTGCAAATACTGCAGAAAAAATGCCAAAATATAACTTATAGAGAAAAATATGCCGAAAAATAAAGAATAGTTCATTCTGGGGTGCTGAAATATGAAGGAATAGAGAACAATGGACCAATAATATAAATATAGAAAAAAATGACATAAAAATTAAAAATTTAAAGTAGGAAAAGACTTACCTTGTTTGACACATTTCTCAATTTTTTCGTCATATTGAGAAAGTTTTGTTTCAAGTCTGTCCACCTGTTTCATCAACATCCATAAAACAGGGTTATCATAGTTACTAGATAAACCTCGGCTACTCTGAAGCTGTGTTTTTTCACCCTCAGATTCAACACGTGACATTAGAGAAATAACAACAACAACTTTCCAGAACTCCATTGTTACACTGTAACTGTTGATACTGATGTTTTTTAGTTCATGTCACGTTATATTGTCGTGGTGTATTCTGATACAAAGTATTTATTCCAAGTATAGTATTTCTCATTTACCAGGAAATTATTGATTATAAGTCATGTTATTTGTAACATGTTTAAGGAATCCTTGGTATTAATCATTAAAATATGGTTAATCCGTTATCTCGTGTATATATATTAGAACACACAAATTCTACCCTGGAAATATTAGAACACACCAACTCTACCAAAGAAAATATTAGAACATCAATTCTACCCCGGAAATATGAGAACACTAAAAGTAAATTATTTAATACATATAGTTCTAAAAGTCCTTATCATTTTGACTCAAGTTTAAATATTCTGTTTATTACAAGATATTATATTTGATAAAAGTTATAACAAAACCCACAGGCACTTGTATCAGAATTGTTTCCCCTATATACCTTAATATAACAAGAATATATAGGAAAAACAAATTCCTGAGACAAGTGCCTGTATGTAATTTTCATAAAAACATTTTAAATTGAAAAGAAATATTAGAGTTATCCCTCTTTAAATGGGACTGACTCGTCTTTGTTTATGTCAGTTTTTTCTTCTATAAACACGAGTAGTGACATTTTCTGACTAACTGTTGATTTATATGACTGTCTGTGTCCTTTCTTCTTCTTCTTCTTCCGAATACGGGAGTAGACTCCTAGGTAGGAGTGTAAAACTTCCCGGAACTTGTGTGCTATGTACATATGGACTTAATTTAAAAATAATATGACAAAGAAAAATCATTAACAATAACATATATACATTATGTACAGTGGCTTTGTAGTTTAATAAGTTGTTGTGGCTCCTTCATATGTTAGAGTGGATATGCCACTTTTGAAGGATTCCAGGGTGTCAGACATACCTATTGCTTCAGGTAGTGAGTTCCAGTCCGAAATAGTGCGAGGGTAAAAAGAAAATTTATAGAAATCTTTATTTGTGTGATATTTGCCTAAATTTATGTTTCCCCCTAGTACGTCTATCAGATATTGTTAAATTGTCCTTAGGAACTTCCACTAACCCCCAATTTATTTTATATAGCATAGTTAATCTAGCTTTTTTCCTTCTTATTTCTAAATTTTCCCATTCCAATGATTTAATTAAATTTGAAACTGCTCCAGGTGATCTGTCTTTATAATCATTGAAGACAAACCTGGCTGCCTTACGCTGTACCTGCTCAACCTGAGTGATGTGTTGCTTTTTGTACGGATCCCATACAGGGGAAGAGTATTCGACGACTGGACGGACAAGTGATGTGTACGTAAGGTTTTTAACCTTACGTGTGCAGTTTTTTAAGTTCCTACGAAGAAAACCTAAGGTTTTATTTGCCTTACAGGTAATATTGTTTATATGTGTTCCCCAATCAAGATCATGGCTTATAGTTACGCCTAAATATTTACTATCTTTTACTGCTTCTAAAACATGATTGTGCAATATATAATCAAAAGTGGAAGGTTTACTTTTTTTAGAAATATGAATAACATAACACTTCTCAGGATTAAAATTCATTTGCCAGTCCTCTTCCCATTGTACTAAACTAGATAAATCTTTTTGAAGTAATTTGGCATCAGAACTATTATTAACATTTCTATACAATAAACAGTCATCTGCAAAAAGTCTTGCATTGCAAATGCAAGTTACATGTTCGGGTAGGTCATTAATAAAGAGTAAAAATAATGTTGGGCCTAAAACTGTTCCCTGAGGGACACCAGAATCAACAGCTAATTTTGAAGATTTAACACCATTTAATAGTACCTGCTGTTGCCTGTCAGCTAAAAAGTCATTTATCCAATTTAAATTTTGATTCCTAATACCATAAAAGTTTAATTTCTGGGCTAATCTTTGATGGGGGACTTTATCGAAAGCTTTGGAAAAATCTAAAAGTATAACATCTATTTGGTTACCATATCCCAATGATTTTGCAAGATCTTGTAAACTGATGATAAGTTGGGTCTCACAAGACCTTTTACTTCTAAACCCATGTTGACTATCATTTAATATGTTATTAATTGTAAGATGTTTCCTTATGTTGCTTGTTATAATGTGTTCTAGAATTTTGCAACATATTGCAGTTAGTGAAACTGGTCTATAATTATGATAGCATTATGCTTGTCACCTTTTTTAAATATTGGTACAACATTAGCCTGCTTCCAATCAATTGGGATTTTACCAGTATCAATAGATTTTTGGAAAAAGAATGTCAAAAATGGAGACAATTCTTCTGCAAAATTATGTAAAAAATATGCTGGCAGATTATCAGGGCCAGTGGCTTTGTGTGGATTTAAGTTTTTAAGTAACTTTAATAAGCCATTATTACTAATAAATATGTCTGGCATAGTGGGGTGGGGACTTGTACCTTTATTTGGCATAGAGGATGTATCTTCGGTAGTAAAAGCCTTTTTAAATTGTTCATTTAGGATGTTAGCTTGTGTATTCGGCTCACTATATAATAAGCCATCCTTTCCTCTTAATGGTGAAACACCAGATGTTTCTGTTTTTTTACTGTCCTGTGGTTAGGTCAATAACAAAATTTGAATTGTTATCTTGTAAATGTATGGATAGGTGAAAAAGGACTTATCGATAGGCTTACGAGTTAGCATTAGTCAATTGGTACGACACAATGAAGGGACGAGTTTGCACTAGTCGATATGGTATGACTACGGGAAGAGAAACGAGTTGACCTAGGCCATCGTCTGTAGAATGAACCTTTTATTACTACCACACCAGTAGAAAAAACAGCCTGTAGAAAATCTACGGAATTTATATCATGGAAGACGTAGACCGTATTGACAATGTTGAAGCAATTAAAACTAGGTCATGCAGCTTTAGTTCAAATTCATATTCATCGCCACAGATCAGCAACGTTGTTTCAGAATGGGATATCATGGATCAGGAACATATATATTGACTTTAGATATACTGTTCCCAGCATGGATGTAGAAAGTAATTTTAGAATTTTTTACAACAGTGATTTGTTACCTTCATCAACACACCTTCTAGAAAAACTCAGTTGTATTGGGCAGTTAACCGATGAGCAGGTGAAACATGCTGACATAATAAAAAAACATTTGGAGAAAATAAACCTGGCACTTTTTAGAAAATTGAAATTGTTACCTAGGAATGTTCCCTGTGTTGAGTTTGAAGCTCTTATTGATGATATTTTAGTAAAGCTCCTTGAAGAGGAACCTGATCGGTTAGTAGTATTTATTATTTAACAATTTTTTCATGATTTTATTCATTCCATTGAACAGGTTTGGAAAAACATTATTTACCTTGTTGAAAGTCTCGCAGGGGCTCATTGTGGGTCAGATCAGGTTTTACTGTTAATGGTGGTCGCTATCCTACATTTATATGAAATATTTTATATTTGATAGTGACTGCCATTGATAATAAAACTTCATCTGACATATTTCATGAGCCTCTATAATGAGGGATCACATCCGTGTATAGGTGTTTCAGGCTGGGCTAGCTTCTTTGTGAGGAGTCGCCTAGCTATATAGTCTGGCGATATCTGGTATGTAAGAAATATTGTGATCCTATAAATATAATGCAATCGACAACCATGCAATAGTTTCCAGCTTACTACTTACAGTCAGGGGTACTACTTGTACAAGTAATCTTTATTTACTTGAAGAAGTGAATAAAATATACTTATATAAGTTAATTATAATGTTTGAATAATCTCCCCTTAATTTTCTAAAAAATTCACTTGTATAAGTAAATTTTTTTTACAATCCCACAAGAATTCTGAAGTTCATGAAGTTTTGAGATGTAAAATCATGCCATTAACAATTTTTCTCAGGTTAGCTCATAATTTTTGATAAGAGTTCAAATTGTTTCATCTCATTAATTCAACAAAGAAACTGATTGCTCAAAGATCTTAAGTATTTGCACAAGGCCTTCAAAAATTACTCCTTGGGGGCTTGTAAATGAGCAGTGTTCTGAAGATAACAGACAAATGAGATTTTCATTGTCCGTGAAATTACATTTAAGTCTAGGTTAGTCTATAAAAAGGTATATACTATGAAATTTAGAGCGAGGGGCTTGCCCCGAGCTCTTAATTTCATAGTATATACCTTTTCATAGACTATCCAATTTAGCACATATTTACAACTCGAGTAATCTTTTAATTGGTCTATTGATAGTTTATTTTGGCTGACTACTTGTATCACAGGTGTTTGTAAAACGGAGCTCATTAACGAAGTTTTGTAAATCTACTCACTAGTATCATTGTAAAATATGTGATTTCAAAAGGCCCTTAACTCCAGAATGAAAAGATGGTAGCTGCTGGTGTAAGTATGTATATTGATATAAAGTGGTGTTTCACTATACATGTTCTTCTTACATGGTAAGATGACCAAATAAATTGACCAAAAGCAGATAATAATTAAATTGCAGTGGAAGCTTTACATGTTTTGAAAACATTTTTTAATTTCACTAAAAACTAAAGCTATAATAAATTTGAAACATATAGATAGTTTGTCCTCATAGATATAGTCTAGCAGATAGGCATTAAAAAGCAACTATCAATAGATCAGAGATTATAGGTTTTGTGTGTTTTTTTTGTTTTTTTTTATTATTTCAAAGTAAAAACTAAAAGATTTATCAGAATATGTTTATATATATAATTGGCACATTATCTTCAGACATAATCACAATTTTTCAATTCATGACATCGTCCTGAACATGCATGAAATATTTGCCACTGGAAATTAAGCAACCGATAATCAATAAATCAATCAATTCATGACGAAATAGATCACCTTCCTTAAGAAAGTTTAAAAAATTATCACCAAGTTGCTTTAACTTCCCTTCACAAGGTTTCATAGTACACACTTTTTTGTGTACAAAGTAATTGCATGGATGATACATTATTACATTATCATAATTTTAAGATATCCTTGTACTCTAATCAAGGTATAAAGAACCATATGTATTACCCTTTATTTAAATGAAAGAAATAGCAATTATCAAAAACATTTTTTAGATCCAAAGATTTTAATAGCAGGATATTTAAAAATCAACGTGAAAACTAATTACAAACTATTTAATTTAATTTGGAACACAGCATTTTATTTCAAAACAGCCAGCGGCAATTTTTGTTTTAAATATCTTCATTATGATACAATGAAATCTTACCCTTGTGGTCATTCATGTGTAGTTACTTAGTACACGGGAAAAGTATGTACTATGAAAATTAGAAGGCAAATATAAGCAATTTGATTGGACGAGAAGTTGTAAGTATGTGCTAACATGTTTAAATGATTACATGTAGTAAAGACATTTGCAAAGGACAGACAATTCAAAATTCTGTTAGAGCAAAGAAGTTCTAAGAATTCAAGAAATTAGAAGATAGGATGACTTTTTTACTTGTATAAGTAAAAAAATCTGAATGTCTAAGGAACATACATTTGTAACTAGGCCAAAAAATAATTTACTTATACAAGTAAATAAGATACACTTGTATAAGTATCCTACAAATTAACTTATATAAGTATATATTTTATTTACTTCTTCAAGTAAATAAAAATTACTAGTACAAGTAGTACCCCTAACTGACTTAAAATTACAAAGTGCATATTCAAAAAATATTTATTACAAACATTATCTACCAATCAGAAGAGCATAAGACTTCAGTGTTATACAGAAAGCTCTCCCCCAAATGAGCGGTCCTTGATGACGTATATTTATCATGTTTATATTTACTGAATTTACCCCTATACAAGTGAAATATCTCCTTCTCAGGGACACCCCAACATGAAAAAAATTCTTATAGTGCATAATTATATGTGACTTGAGGGACGGTGCTGCATGGCAAGGTGGAATCTAGACACACATGGTAATTATGTATGTAGATAGACAATTTAAGTAAGGGAGCTGCCATTTGATTTTTATGAGGGGGGGGGGGGGGGGTTGGATGAAAAATTTTGTCCTGCGTTTTTTTTAGTTGTAATCTCTGTCCTGCCTTTTTTTTTTTTGCAAAGTGTCTCATCCTGCCTTTTTTTACTCAAAACTCCTGTCCTGCCTATTTTTTTTCAAATTTCACCCTGCCCCCCCCCCCCCCCATAAAAATCAAATGGTAGCTCCCTAAAATACTATGAGCATATATGCACAAACCTAGCTGGCATGTCATCATTGCAGTCTACTTGTTTTTTTCATAGATTGACAAGATATAGAGTTGGATGTTTTCTGAAATCCCTGAGAAGTCTTACAACTGATGTTAAAAGAAATCCTGACCATAAAATTTATGAAGAAAGTTACACAAAACTGTTTATTTCATTTTCAGAGATGTGCTGTCTACATGCTTGGTAAGAACTGGTGTAGTTCATTATACATGTAGATGTATATCATGAATATATTTATATATACATAAATACATTTATGTGTATATCATGTACATTTTGTAATGTAAATTCAGAAATTATTGCGTGCATTTATTAATGTGATTTTGGAAGAATCGAAAAAAAAAATGCAAGGATAATTAATGCTATTTCATTAAAAAACTGCATACAGATATATATGTACATGGTGTATTAGATTAGAATGCGATTTCTTATAAATGCAATATGGACCCTGGTGAGTCACATTATAATAAGAAAGAATGTTGTTTCTATCTAAAGTTATCATTATCTTCTCCTCTGAAACTACTGGGCCAAATACCTTCATACTTTAACTGAATGTTTTTTAGAGTATCCAGTTTGGAAATTGTATCTGAAGTTTTGATCCATCAACAATCATGGTCGCCATGGCTTAAAATAGAACATAGGCATGATAGGGGTCAAATGCAGTTTTTGGCTTATATCTCAAAAAACTAAAGTTTTTAGAGCAAATCTGACATGGGGTAAAAATGTTCAATGGGTCAAGATCTATCTGCACTGAAATTTTCAGACAAATCGAACAAACCAATGTTGGGTTGCTGCCACTAAATTGGTTATTTTAAGGAAATTTCGAAAATTTTATACGACGGCAAAAAATTTTGTGGTCATATATTGGTATCGTCGTCATCATCAGCGTCGTCCAAAGACATTTGGTTCCCGGACAATAACTTTGTTAAATGTTAAGCATTTTTTCTAGTTTCCAGACAATAACTTGTGGAACGGTGTATGGATCTCTCTGAAATTATACCACAAGTTTCCATACCACAAAAAAACAGTGTTAAAGGGATGGTTAGGATTGGCTTTGGGGGGTTTTGGCTAAAACCGTTTAGGATCGAATTAGGGGCAAAAAAGTGAGAAAAAACAAGGGTCTCCTGGTTAATGAACAATTACTGAAATACAAAAGATAATTCAATGTTACCTCCCTTACACTGCTTTTAAATTATGTATAAAGAAATTTTGCATTGTCTTGAGGTGATTAGCTGTCAATTTATTTTTAGAAATTACTATTTTAATAATTTAAAAAATGCTGTTTAACATGTTTAAGGTAAATTTATTTTAGCCATGATTATGTATGTCATTTTCTATTTTAAGACTATTATGATGAATTTAAGGTGGCTCGGGTGTCTTCCTCCATTTTGGATTTTGAAATAGCAGATAACGTTGGTCTAGATATTTCATGAAATGTGCAAATTTTGAGAGTAGTATGTAACTTATATAAAAGACTTTTGATGTAAATATAGAAAATTGTGTGTTTTATCATAATTACGGCTGTAATTTCTCAAAAACACCTTATTTGTGTTTGATTAGATTTTTTTTCAACTTTGCCAAATAAGGGGAGATAACTCTGATAAAGTAATTTTTATAATAGAAAGTGTTGTGAATTTATCTATTTTGATATGTAGCAAGAAAACAAGTTCGGTGACCCCATTGTTTCTTTTTCTTATCTGAAAGCATCTTATAAGAGCTTTCTTCTCACACTTTATCTTAAAGTTCTATCAAGTAGTTTTCTTTTTATCACACAAAATTTGATTTTCCATGCATAATCTACATGATCTATACAAAATTTTACAGTTTTGCACAACCTCTAGCGTGAAAAAAAGTTCGGTGACCCATACTTTTTATTATATTTTTGAAAAAAGCATGATAAAAACTTCATTTTGACAAATTATAAAAAAATTCTATCAATTTTAATTAAGACCCCCTAGCCACTTTAAATGGATAATTATGGTTGCAAACTCCATTGGAAATTTGAATTGAGATTATGACCATATCTTGAGGGAAAGAATTTTTTTTTTGGAAAAAGGGGGGGGGGGGGTCAATTTGTTCTCAAGATTTCAGAAATCGAAAGGAAAATTTCTTCTAGACTAATATTTTTTTGTTGAAAAAAAGAGGGGAGGGGGGAGGGGGGTAAAACACTTTTTTTTAAACAGAAAGGTTGGGGGGGTAAAAAAATTTTTTTTTTGCAGGGGGGGGGTTTATTCGCAACAGCATAGTGTATTGCACAAAAGCAAAAATTGAATATAAATTCAAATCATATAAACAATTCTAAGTTCTTTGGCTACAGTTATTCTGTGTCAGAAACCTGTTATGTGTCAAATATTTAATTACAATCCAAATTCAGACCTGTATCAAGCACGAATATTGTGTCCTTTATGCCCCAAATGATCAGGGTTGGACCTCTGTGGTCGTATCCAGCTGCGCTCGGCGAAGCAATTTATTGGTTATTATCTTGAATATTATTGAAGATAAAGATATAGATAAACTGTAAACAGCAAAAATGTTTTATAAATCAAAATCAAATCAAATAATTTTATTGGTGTAAATCTCAATACAGGAATGATACCAGCTGACATTTACAAAAATAGACAAAAATAAACAAAAACAAGTATACAGAGACATATTTTCTCAATCATTTGTCAATGATAAGAGACACATGTACCATAGTTCATTCGACTTTCTGTTGTAAAAAGTGTGAGGTATCTACACATACACTATGGGCGTATTAAAGGACTTTTGACTGGTAAGCCAATAACACAACAGATAACCATCACAGATTTGGATGTTGCTACTGATTGGCTAATCAATCAAAAATGAGTACGAAAGTTTCGACAATTACATCAACTTCGTTAGTCTCGGGCAGATAGTTGTCTCATAGGCATTTATACCACATCATCTTATCTTTATACATATTTGATTTCAAGCCATACTGCATCAGTAAAACATAAAATTTTATTTTAATTAATAACTTTTAATAGCTCAAAATTTATATTCCCACATATCAACTTTCAATATACAACTGTACAACGATATATTAGTATTAACAGTGTAGTATTTCCCAAAACACTTCATTGTAACTCATATCTACATCAATCAGAACTAAGGAAAATCAAATATATCACATTAACTCCGTAATGAATATATATCACTTAAAATATGATTTTGTGAAAACATCTAATTTCCTCCCGTAAAATTGAACATGCACTGCGAAAACACACATTTGCCATCAGCATTACCGGAATTAATACTATCTAGACCAGATTTGCCCATGTCCATGCTTTCTTCTTTGTCTTGTGATTCCAATTTACATTTCTTTGGCGGGCCTCCTGGCTCAAGAATGTTTGAAATATCCATTAGCATTTCCGTTGAAGCTCGTTTATATTTTCGAACGCTTTCAACAGATCTGTGTCTGGTTCTATTCATTATCTCTTGCTCCGGAACGCCAGCTTGATAGAGAGATGTTGCACACGTCCTTTTTCCGGAATGGTTTGTAAAGTAACCTTCGATTCCTGCCTCAAAACACATGCTTTTCATTATTGATGACAATTTATTTACACCTAATGGCTGTGAACTGAATTTGATTTCACAACCTTTCTCTAAAGGTCGTCTGTAAAACGAGTTCCCGTTCATTTCAGAAATAATACTTAGGTAATCTTCATGAATCTTAAATAAATCAAGATTTTGGAAATGGTGCTTTATGTTTTTTGCAGTCAGGTGTCTCTGATGAAGTCCTCCTGAAACACCGAGGATAAAAGATATTTAATACAAAATTACTAGAAACGGAATTAAATGTTTATGTGTGTATTATATATCTAGTTCATGTGTCTTAACTTCTTAAAAAAACTTTATAAATATTTTAATCATGATATCAAAATTATTAGTGAAGTTTGTATACATAATCATTCGGGAAAACTTGCATAAGTATCTTGATGGGGGTCCTTCATTTCAGTATTCTTCAATTTTCATGCCATTTTTTCTCTATTTTTTATATTTTAGCACCTCATTATTCTCTAGTCTTTATACGTTTTTCCCGTTTATATTCTCTTTTCTGCAAACTCCCTTCAACACCCTCATGCATGCCATGACTTATAATAAGATAGATAATACGATAAGATATTTTACAGGTTTCGAATCCCAAATCATTCATGATTGCGGTATCGGGTCCGTTCGCGCCCAATACACGTTCGCACCCTACTCGTTCGCACCCCACACGTTCGCCCCCTGGGTCCGTTCGCACCCTTTTTTTTTATTCAAAAACCCGATGAATTATAAGATGTTTTTTAAGATATTTATCTCAAAATAAGGAAAAATTCGACAATTTTTGAATTTTTTAAATGAAATATTGTTTTAAATTGATTTGATGATTAATTATTTATGATTACTGTTAATTATATATGGTGTTTACACAGCTAAACTTGATGTAAATTCTGCATGTAGTTATATTAGCATGTATTTAACTTGGTATGAGTAAAAACAATTAAGATTCAAAATGTTATTGTTGTTGAGTTTAAAGCGGTTTGGTATCTTAACATTTAAATAATATTCAACACAAAAAACCTTTTTTAGAAAGTCACTTTATTTTGAAACAATGAAAAAAAAAAAATACAGCAATACACTTACCAAAACACGATTAAAAAGATATTCAACACAAAAAACGTCACTTTATTTTGCATGTTTTGAAACAATGAAAAAAAACTTATTTATAGCAATACAATAACCAAAACACGATTAAAAAATTATTCAACACAAAAATCGTTTTTAGAAAGTCACTTCATTTTAAAACAATGAACATAAAAATATTTATAGCAATACACTAACCAAAATACGATTGAAAAATTATTTAAGACAAAATCAATAAAAAGGGTGCGAACGTGTAGGGTGCGAACGGACCCGGGGTGCGAACGTGAAAGGGGGCGAACGTGAATGGGCGCGAACGGACCCGGATTCCATGATTGCTACCAAAAAATGAAACACTTTATAAATTTCATGCGTCCAAATCGCTTTTCTGGATTTTCCTTCTTCAGGAATGCTCAAGAGTGAAAGCCGAATATTTGAATTTTGACAATGTATAAATTTACGTCATTAGATAAACATAAAGATTAAACATTGAATAACAATATCAACGCGGACCTCGAAGAAGACACTTTGATTTTCCGAAAATTAATGATTCCACCTTGACCTTCTTATTACAGTACAACCTAATTGTTAACTTTTAATTTTTAATAATACATACCTTTGTAGGTTTTGCTAGCTCTTCCAGAAAAGGCAATGTAATGTCCATTTTGATCTTTTCCAATTTTAAACTGATCTGTTGACAAGTTCCTGTGTTCGTCTACACCCCTTAAACCAAACAGTTTGCTGTTGTAAAAAAACATAGTGTAAAGCACAGATTTCGAACTTTTGTTTCCTAGTAAATTCTTCTCCCAAAGAATATCTTCACTCTCCTGGTTAATAGGTTCTGCTTGTTTTGGAGTTGTCCCTATTCCCTCAGCCGTTAGCTGTGTCATTCTAGCACTAAGCGAACGCCTAAACTCATAAAATTGCGAGTCCTTTTCGTCCAAGAAATTGATATGAATTTCATTTTCACGTAGGTGCCGCAATATTCCTACACACAACATGTACAATGTTTTCGGTGGGTACGGTTTTCCGTCTTGCCGCCTCGTTTCAATCACAAAACGGCTCATCCATTGATTAATGTCACCAACTGTAAATCTTGTGAGCTCCGGAATGGCACAACTCGTGCTTGCTATGCGCGCACTTCTCCAATCATTGAACGTAGATATACTCCAATTTGTATTCTTTCTGGTGTTTTTACTCTCGGTGGATTTAACTAAAATGTCAATGTCCATATCGTTAACGAAGTTACCATACCGTCCATTATTAACATGACCCTCTGCTTTTACCGCGACATTAGTTTCCGGCACGATGATTTTCTCCAACTGTTCAATTACATTGTCGGCAGTTATTGGAACCTGTGTTAACTGAAAATCTAATTGAGAAATATCTACCTCGTGGCTCACATCCATGTCAACTTCGTACTTATCTAACGCCTGTGAAAGGGTTAAATCGTCCATTTTTTCAAAAACAGTTTGTTCATTTTCCATATCAGTACATATTTGGGATAAAGTAATGTCGTCAACACTTTGATCCCAGTGGGCATATAAAAAATCCGTTTCTAGTAAATTCACTTTGGCATTATCCATTTTGCTCCTTACACATCAAACCGCAAACTGAAATTCTACCGCGGGAAAACAACGTGACGGCTAGCGATGACGTCGAATGAACATTTGGCACATGAGATTTACCAAATGGCACACGATTGGTTATGTGTGATACACGATAGGAGGGTCTAAATTGCACTCGAAAGCAGAGCTTTCTCGTGCAATTTAGTCCCTCCTATCGTGTATCTACACATAACCAAACGTTTGACATTTGGTAACTAAAACATATTTTATATCTACATTGTACAAAAATTTATATGACCAAAATTGTCAATTGACCCCTTAACAGTCAGGGGACTTACTTAAATGAGTGATTTTCTAAATCACTGATTCAAGTAACATTATGTCCATAAAGGTTGGAAGTTAAAGAGTTGTCTTTCTTTAATAATCACCTATTTAAGTAGTACAAATTAATCACTAGACTAAGTGATTTAATTTTATTGTAGCTTTAAATATAGAATATTAATGATCCAGGGACTAATTATGTTGCTAAAATTATCAGAACCAACATCTGTGTTGATAGGATGACCGGGTCATGTCAGGTGATGACCTTGTACTAAATCTAGGATAATGACATACAAATCACTTGTTTAAGTATCATACCTCAATTTCCTTCCAAAAAATCACTTCTTTAAGTATCATTATTTTAATAACCCCCACTAATTTCAACACCCCCGAACAGTGAAATTTTGATCACGAACAGTAGAATTTTATTACATAATTAATCTATAAGATGAAACCTTGAATTTTACAGGAAAAATACTCCCACTGCTGGGAAAAATCTGTTAAGAAAGTATCATTTCTATAGCATTTTTTCAACTAAAATAGAATTTGCAGCTAAATGATTGCATCAAAGGCATAAACCTTGCTGCTTAAAAGAAGCAAAAAGTTCATTTTTTTCAATTTTACTAATGAAAAGATATTATCTAAACCTATGTGTTTAAAATTTGGTAAAACTACAAAATCACAATTTGTGACAAACTTCGAATTTGCTACTTAAATAAGTGATTTAAAAATCACTTATTTCAATAAGTCCCCTGACTGCTTAAGGAGTTATTGCCCTTTAAGGACAATTTTACACAATTTGTTTATGTTTTCTAACTTTTAAAAATCTTCTCAAATGAATCTAGTATAAATTTTGTATTTTATTCATGTTGTAAGTCAAGAAACCTGGCCAATATGGCTAAAATGGAACATATGGGTAAAATGCATTTACTTGCTTAAAATTGAAGAAAATATGACAGATACAAAGAACATTTAACATGTTTAAATGGCATTTTTAAGCCACTCATTAATATATGAGCTGCGTCAGATAAAAATCGACCTTATGCAAATGAATATCAATACATCTGTTAAAATATTTCGGGTTAAAGAAAACCTCAATAGACAGTATGTAACTGTTTGAAAATTGGGTTGATATATTAGAACCCTACAAAACAGACCAAAATTCATCTTTCGTTTCGTATTAATTTGAATGCTTGAAAATCAAATGAACATGAATACGGGCACTTGCATATTAAAGGTCGATGTCTATCCGATGTAGCTTATATATTGAAAAGCAAAAATAATCATTGATGAAAGATTAAGGCAAAAAATAACAGGTGAGCGATTCAGGCTCTTGAGAGCCTCTTGTTTTTTGTCTCGTCTGAAAGTTTAGAAGACATGTCATCTACATGTACAATATGTATTTTGTACAGGGTTTGACATTAAAGGCTGTCTGATTGCCTGGAACAAGTGAAAGTTTTCAGCAGCAGTACTGACTACCTGTCAGTTTTTGCATGTAAAAACTGAAAATTGGTAAACAGTGAAAATATAGGATCTTTGTCTTACAGTAAGGGTAAAACTTATTCAAGCCATGTTTATTAACTTGAAGATGTAAGTAATATTTACTTGTATAAGTAAATTTGTATAAGTAAATTTGTAAGATTTTTATTTTATTTTCAAGGGTTTAAGGCCATACTTTGACCTATAATGGTTTACTTTATTACAAATTGTGACTTGGATGGAGAGTCGTCTCATTGGCACCTTTACCACATCTTTTTATATCTTTTGAATAATCTTCCCTTCATCTTTTCCAAAAAAATTATTGTAAGTAAAGTAAATTTTGTTTCGCCTGTGACGAAATTAGCAAAAGGCAAGACATAAGTATTGCTTTTCCGGCGATGGTCTTCGTCATCGATGGCTTCAACAATTGTTCATTTTTCTGCTTAAGTTAGTTTGATCAGAACTACTTGTGATAGATCAATGATATTTTGTATTAAGTTGCATTACTATCAGTACATATCAGTTTGACAACTATTTTGAGGCCCTGATCCCAAGGTCATGGTCCAGTGGCTTTGGATTATAGTTCTAGAGCAATTAATAATTATTTTCATTGTTAAGTTTTTGGCTTTATATAAAAATAAGGAGATGTGGTATGATTGCCAGTGAGACAACTATCCACCAAAGTTCAAATGAAGTGGATGTAAGCAATTATAGGCAACCGTACGGCCTTCAACAATGAGAAAAACTCATACCATATGGTCATCTATAAAAGGCCCGGACATGAAAAATATGAAACAATTCAATTGAGAAAACTAATGGCCTAATTTACTGTGGATTCATTTATTTTCGTGGGTATCAATTTTCGTGGATTGAGGAAAACTTGCATTTTCGTGGATATTTGATTTCGTGGTTTAGCCAATCTCTGCATACAAAGCCTATAGCAAATTTGTAATTCGTTGAACATTTAAATTCGTGGTTCACCTGTTCCCACGAAACCCACGAAAATTGATATCCAACGAATAATAATGAATCCACAGTATAACAAAACAGTTTACTATAAAACAAATATCACAAACATGAACCAACGACAACCACTGAACTACAGGCTCCTGAGTTAGTTTGATATTTTCTATAAAGTTACATGACTGTACATCTTAGTTTGTTGACCATTTCGAGCCCCTTCCCACCAGCTTATGGTTCAGTGATTTTGAATTAATCAGCAATGTTGCTGTCTTATCATATTGTCTTTTTTTCTGAATTTTTTCTGACAGGCGAGACATATCTTGGTGTCAACAGTTTATTTTTAGCTCACTTGGCCCATTGGAGTCCGTTGTCATCATCCCTTGTCGTTATCTTTTATAAAAATCTTATCTGAAATTACTGGGTCAAATTTAACCAAACTTGGCCACAATCATTATTAGGGTGTCTAGTTTTAAAAAAGTGCCCAATGATGTGGCCTGCCTTCCAACTTGGCTGACGTGGTTAGAAATAAAACATAGGGGTAAAATGCAAATTTTTGATATAAACTTGAAAACCACTATAAATAGGAGACAAAAATGTTCAAAATGATGAGATCTACCTATTGTCCATTACAACAAAACTGTCAGACAACTTCTTAATGGAGTTTTTGTCCTTTAACATGTTCAATGACAAATTTTATCATTTTATCATTTATGCCTATAATCTTGAAAATTACAATCGATGGAGAGAAATTTCAATTATCATGATTATCAAAAATGATCGGCATGACAAAATCTATAAATATTTCAACATTTTTGAAATTGTCAGACAACTCCTTATTGGAGTTATTGCCCTTTAATGATAAATTTTTCAATTTATTTGTGTTTTTCTCTAATATCTGAACAACTATAATAGAAACTTCTAAACAAGCAAAATGATCAGCTATACAAGATCTACAAATAAGTCTACTGTTGGAAATTGTGAGTTTACTTCTTATTGGAGTTATTGCCCTTCAATGATGATTTTTATCAATTTATTTGCGTTTACAAGATCTACAAATAAGTCTACTGTCGGAAATTATGAGTTTATTTCTTATTGTTACTCCTTATTTCAGTTTTACACTTGGGAAAGGAGATCAAACTGATTGGAAAAATTTACGAGAAAATAAAAGTGTCACCTCTCGTCCAGATATAAGACTGATGAAATCTGGACTTGATATTACGAGAAAAGAGGAATTTGATTTATCGTTGGTGGTAGCTATTGTGCAGGTAAAGTGTAGTTTAAAGCTTATTGAAATGAATATTTTAAGAGTATAGCCTCTCTGCATTCAAAATGGTACTGGCAGTACTGAGTACACAAAATTATCTACAGTGAATTCAAATTCACATAAGATTAAAAATACAACAAAAAATGTAGAAAAACCTGGAAAAAAATATGAGAATGGAAACTGTGAATGTTTCAAAGAGACAACAACCCGACCAAAGAGCAGAAAACAGCCCACCAATGGGTCTTCAATACATGTACAGCGAAAAAATCCCGCACCCAGAGGTGCACTTCTAATTTGAAATTGTGGCTAGAAATGGGGGCCATTTTAGGGCCTTATCAAACCTACTCCTTTATGTTCCCCCAAATTTTCATATTTGAATCATTATACTAAAATGTATATCCAAATTACAATAAGTTCGAAAGAAACAATTGATAATGCATGGACGATATAATGTATCAGCATTTCAAATTCTTTTAGACAAGATGACATCTAATAATCCATCAAGATGACATCTGATAATCCATCAAGATGACCTCCAAATAAAGGCAACAGTAGTATACCGCTGTTCGAAATTCATAAATCGATTGAGAAAAAACAATTTCCGGGTTACAAACTAAAACTAAAAAGACTGCCAACAGTCATATTACACGATATGGACATTATTATGAAAATATATAAACAGACAACCAGCTGCAATCACGTAATCACAATTTTTCCAGGTTTAATTTCATTTTATAGGTAAAATAATGTAAGTAAATGATTGTATTACCTTTTTAAGAAAGATTTTGGGGCTCTTTCAGTCAATGAAATAATTATTCCTGGTTTCTACCTTGTTTCGCTTTTCAATGTTGACATTCATTTCTTTTTAATGAAGGACAAGCTCAATAAATATGTCAGCAAAGAAGAAATTGTCAGCTGTTGTCTTTAGGATGTTTGCTCCTCTTGTTTTTGAATTTTTACCAGATATTCTGAATCCTCTGGTTTTTGTCGAGCCTGCGACTTTTGTCGCAGAAAGCTCGACATAGGGATAGCGATCCGGCGGCGGCGGCGGCGGCGGCGGCGGCGGCGGCGTTAGCTAACTTCTTAAAAGCTTTATATTTTAGAAGATGGAAGACCTGGATGCTTCATACTTTGTATATGGATGCCTCATGTTACGAAGTTTCCGTCAGTCACATGTCCAATATCCTTGACCTCATTTTCATGGTTCAGTGACTACTTGAAAAAAAAGTTCAGATTTTTTGTAATGTTAAATTCTCTCTTATTATAAGTAATAGGATAACTATATTTGGTATGTGCGTACCTTGCAAGGTCCTCATGCCCGTCAGACAGTTTTCACTTGACCTCGACCTCATTTCATGGATCAGTGAACAAGGTTAAGTTTTCGTGGTCAAGTCCATATCTCAGATACTATAAGCAATAGGTCTAGTATATTCGGTGTATGGAAGGACTGTAAGGTGTACATGTCCAACTGGCAGGTGTCATCTGACCTTGACCTCATTTTCATGGTTCAGTGGTTATAGTTAAGTTTTTGTGTTTTGGTCTGTTTTTCTTATACTGTATGCAATAGGTCTACTATATTTGGTGTATGGAATGATTGTAAGGTGTACATGTCTAGCTGGCAGGTGTCATCTGACCTTGACCTCATTTTCATGGTTCAGTGGTCAAAGTTAAGTTTTTGAGTTTTGGTCTTTCTTTCTAATACTGCATGCAATAGGTCAGCTATATTTGGTGTATGGAATGATTGTAAGGTGTACATGTCTAGCTGGCAGGTGTCATCTTACCTTGACCTCATTTTCATGGTTCAGTGGTCAAAGTTAAGTTTTTGAGTTTTGGTCTTTTTTTCTAATACTATATGCAATAGTTCAACTATATTTGGTGTATGGAAATATTTTATGATCTATATGTCAGTTACGCAGGTTTTATTTGACCTTGACCTCATTTTCAAGGTTCATTGCTCAGTGTTAAGTTTTTGTGTTTTCGTCTGTTTTTTGTCGAGCCTGCGACTTTTGTCGCAGAAAGCTCGACATAGGGATAGCGATCCGGCGGCGGCGGCGGCGGCGTTAGCTAACTTCTTAAAAGCTTTATATTTTAGAAGGTGGAAGGTCTGGATGCTTCATACTTTGTATATGGATGCCTCATGTTACGAAGTTTCCGTCAGTCACATGTCCAATGTCCTTGACCTCATTTTCATGGTTCAGTGACTACTTGAAAAAAAAGTTAAGATTTTTTGTAATGTTAAATTCTCTCTTATTATAAGTAATAAGATAACTATATTTGGTATGTGCGTACCTTGCAAGGTCCTCATGCCCGTCAGACAGTTTTCACTTGACCTCGACCTCATTTCATGGATCAGTGAACAAGGTTAAGTTTTGGTGGTCAAGTCCATATCTCAGATACTATAAGCAATAGGTCTAGTATATTCGGTGTATGGAAGGACTGTAAGGTGTACATGTCCAACTGGCAGGTGTCATCTGACCTTGGCCTCATTTTCATGGTTCAGTGGTTATAGTTAAGTTTTTGTGTTTTGGTCTGTATTTCTTATACTGTATGCCATAGGTCTACTATATTTGGTGTATGGAATGATTGTAAGGTGTACATGTCTAGCGGGCAGGTGTCATCTGACCTTGACCTCATTTTCATGGTTCAGTGGTCAAAGTTAAGTTTTTGAGTTTTGGTCTTTTTTTCTAATACTATGTGCAATAGTTCAACTATATTTGGTATGTGCGTACCTTGCAAGGTCCTCATGCCCGTCAGACAGTTTTCACTTGACCTCGACCTCATTTCATGGATCAATGAACAAGGTTAAGTTTTGGTGGTCAAGTCCATATCTCAGATACTATAAGCAATAGGTCTAGTATATTCGGTGTATGGAAGGACTGTAAGGTGTACATGTCCAACTGGCAGGTGTCATCTGACCTTGACCTCATTTTCATGGTTCAGTGGTTATAGTTAAGTTTTTGTGTTTTGGTCTGTTTTTCTTATACTGTATGCCATAGGTCTACTATATTTGGTGTATGGAATGATTGTAAGGTGTACATGTCTAGCGGGCAGGTGTCATCTGACCTTGACCTTATTTTCATGGTTCAGTGGTCAAAGTTAAGTTTTTGAGTTTTGGTCTTTTTTTCTAATACTATGTGCAATAGTTCAACTATATTTGGTATGTGCGTACCTTGCAAGGTCCTCATGCCCTTCAGACAGTTTTCACTTGACCTCGACCTCATTTCATGGATCAATGAACAAGGTTAAGTTTTGGTGGTCAAGTCCATATCTCAGATACTATAAGCAATAGGTCTAGTATATTTGGTGTATGGAAGGACTGTAAGGTGTACATGTCCAACTGGCAGGTGTCATCTGACCTTGACCTCATTTTCATGGTTCAGTGGTTATAGTTAAGTTTTTATACGACCGCAAAAATTGAAAATTTTTTGGTCGTATATTGGTATGACGTTGGCGTCGTCGTCGTCGTCGTCGTCGTCTGGCGTCGTCCGAAGACACATTGGTTTTCGCACTCTAACTTTAGTTTAAGTGAATGGATCTCCATGAAATTTTACCATAAGGTTCAATACCACGAAAGGAAGGTTGGGATTGATTTTGGGGGTTATGGTACCAACAGTTAAGGAATTAGGGGCCAAAAAGGGGCCAAAAATAAGCTTTTTGTAACTTCCAGACAATAACTTGTGTGTAAGTGTATGGATCTCTCTGACATTGTACCACAAGGTTCCATATCACAAAGGGAAGGCTGTAATTGATTTTGGGGGTAATTGCCTCAAAATTTTAGGAATTAGGGGCCAAAAAAGGGGCAAAAAACAAGCATTTTTCTAGTTTCATGACAATAACTTGTGTGTAAGTGTTTGGATATTTCTGAAATTGTACTACAAGGTTCCATATCACAAAGGGAAAGCTGGAATTGAGTTTGTGGGTAATTGCCCGAAACGTTTAGGAATAGGGGGCCAAAAAGGGGCCAAAAATAAGCATTTTTCTAGTTTCCAGACAATAACTTGTGTTCAAGTGTATGGATCTCTCTGAAATTGTACTGCAAGGTACCATACCACAAAGGGAAGGCTGGGATTGAGTTTGGGGGTGATGAATCATAAGGGGGTTCAAAAAATTTGGGGGGGGGGGATTTTTTTTTTTTCTTTTTTTTTTCTTTTTTTCCTTTTTTTTTTCTTTTAAAATTTTGCATTTTAAGTTGGTTATTTCTGATTAATATTTAAAAGCAAATAATAATGATATGGTAGGAGATACACACCAAACAGGATGTGTAAATTATTATATAATAAGTATTGTGCAATAGCAAGAAATTTTCAATTGCACAGTATTGCACAATTGCAAGAAATCTTCAATTGCACAGTATTGCGCAATAGCAAGAAATCTTCAATTGCACAGTATTGCGCAATAGCAAGAAATATCCAATAGCACAATATTGCGCAATAGCAAGAAATTGTCAATTGTACAGTATTGCACAATAGCAAGAAATATTCAATTGCACAGTATTGTGCAAAAGAAGATACTTCGTATAAATTGCTTATTTCTTGATCAATTTCAATGGGGTTTTATTCTTGAATTCTTGGGGTTCTTTAATATGCTGAATCTAACCAAGTATTAAGTTTTTGGATTTTGGGCCCCGTTTTTAAATTGGTCCACATTGAGGTCCAAAGGGTCCAAAATTTAACTTTGTTTGATTTCATCAAAAATTGAATTATTGGGGTTCTTTGATATGCCGAATCTAACCGTGTATTTAGATTCTTAATTTTTGGTTCCGTTTTCAAATTGGTCTACATTAAGGTCAAAAGGGTCCAAAATTAAACTTAGTTTGATTTCAACAAAAAATGAATATATGGGGTTCTTTGATATGCTGAATCTAAACATGTATTTAGATTTTAGATTTTTGGCCCAGTTTTCAAGTTGGTCCAAATTGGGGTCCAAATTAAACTTTGTTTGATTTCATCAAAAATTGAATTCTTGGGGTTCTTTGATATGCTGAATCTAACCATGTATTTAGATTTTTTATTTGTGGACCCACTATCAAATTGGTTCATATTGAGGTCAAAAGGGTCCAAAATTAAACTTTGTTTGATTTCATCAAAAATTGAATTATTTGGGTTCTTTGATATGCCAAATCTAACCGTGTATTTAGATTTTTAATTTTGGGTCCCGTTTTTAAATTGGTCTACATTAAGGTCCAAAGGGTCCAAAATTAAACTTAGTTTGATTTTAACAAAAATTGAATTCTTGGGGTTCTTTGATATGCTGAATCTAAACATGTGTTTAGATTTTTGATTATGAGCCCAGTTTTCAAGTTTGTCCAAGTTGGGGTCCAAAATTAAACTTTGTTTGATTTCAACAAAAATTGAATATATGGGGTTCTTTGATATGCTGAATCTAAACATGTATTTAGATTTTAGATTTTTGGCCCAGTTTTCAAGTTGGTCCAAATTGGGGTCCAAAATTAAACTTTGTTTGATTTCAACAAAAATTGAATATATGGGGTTCTTTGATATGCTGAATCTTACCATGTATTTAGATTTTTTATTTGTGGGCCCGCTATCAAATTGGTTCATATTGAGGTCAAAAGGGTCCAAAATTAAACTTTGTTTGATTTCATCAAAAATTTAATTATTGGGGTTCTTTGATATGCCAAATCTAACCGTGTATTTAGATTTTTAATTTTGGGTCCCGTTTTTTAAATTGGTCTACATTAAGGTCCAAAGGGTCCAAAATTAAACTTAGTTTGATTTTAACAAAAATTGAATTTTTGGGGTTCTTTGATATGCTGAATCTAAACATGTGTTTAGATTTTTGATTATGGGACCAGTTTTCAAGTTGGTCCAAGTTGGGGTCCAAAATTAAACTTTGTTTGATTTCAACAAAAATTGAATATATGGGGTTCTTTGATATGCTGAATCTAAACATGTATTTAGATTTTAGATTTTTGGCCCAGTTTTCAAGTTGGTCCAAATTGGGGTCCAAAATTAAACTTTGTTTGATTTCAACAAAAATTGAATATATGGGGTTCTTTGATATGCTGAATCTTACCATGTATTTAGATTTTTTATTTTGTGGGCCCGCTTTCAAATTGGTTCATATTGAGGTCAAAAGGGTCCAAAATTAAACTTTGTTTGATTTCATCAAAAATTGAATTATTGGGGTTCTTTGATATGCCAAATCTAACCGTGTTTTTAGATTTTTAATTTTGGGTCCTGTTTTTTAAATTGGTCTACATTAAGGTCCAAAGGGTCCAAAATTAAACTTAGTTTGATTTTAACAAAAATTGAATTCTTGGGGTACTTTGATATGCTGAATCTAAACATGTGTTTAGATTTTTGATTATGGGACCAGTTTTCAAGTTTGTCCAAGTTGGGGTCCAAAATTAAACTTTGTTTGATTTCAACAAAAATTGAATATATGGGGTTCTTTGATATGCTGAATCTAACCATGTATTTTGATTTTGGGCATTGGACCATAATAGGTAAATTAAAAAAATTGAAGTTCTTAGACCACATTCTTTCTGTGTCAGAAACCTATGCTGTGTCAAATATTTAATCACAATCCAAATTCAGAGCTGTATCAAGCTTGAATGTTGTGTCCATACTTGCCCCAACTGTTCAGGGTTCGACCTCTGCGGTCGTATCAAGCTGCGCCCAGCGAAGCATTTTATTGTGTTTTGGTCTGTTTTTCTTATACTATATGCAATAGTTCAACTATATTTGGTGTATGGAAATATTTTATGATCTATTTGGCAGTCACGCAGGTTTTATTTGACCTTGACCTCATTTTCAAGGTTCATTGCTCAGTGTTAAGTTTTTGTGTTTTGGTCTGTTTTTCTTAAACTATAAGCAATAGGTCAACTCTATTTGTTGTATGGAAGAATTGTTAGCTGTACATGCCTGCCTAGCATGGTTCATCTGACCTTGACCTCATTTTCATGGTTCATTGGTCAATGTTTAGTTTACTTGGTTAATGTTAAGTTTATGTGACAGTTGTAATAAAGCTTTATATTTAGGACTATCAACATAATATCAATGATTAGTAAAGAAGGCGAGACATTTCAGCATGTGCACTCTTGTTTCCATGTAGTTCCATTAAAAAATGTTGTCCACTTACCCCCACTTTTCTGTTTTATTACATATAGTTTAAAAAGCAATATTTGAAAATCCTATAAAATCCTTTTTATTTTTTCATAGGTTTTAAACATTGTTTAATATATATGGAAAATTGCATTTTTAGTGCTCTAATGTCTGAATGTGTACAATTCTTACCAAATATAATTATATTAGATTTATATCAAAAAGAATTTCAGCAGTTTCTATGGCAAGTTGGAAAATCTGCACCCATCAACAATTTTTAAAAGAACTAGATAACATTGAGGTGGGAGCCATCTCTGTGGGCCCCGCTGTGAATAAGGTGTGGTAAAAAATTTGTATCTTTATCATTGGACATGGGGTTGTCAACTGAAACCAAAGTTTTTGACCTTGACCTTTGACCTAGGAAGTTGTACATAATTTATGACACACCCTCTGGTGTTGGTTTATATACATGCCAAGTATAAATTTTGAAATCATAACGGTTCTCAAGATATAGAGCAGGCACGATCTTTTCCATAGGACATGGGGGTTCTCAACTAAAACCAAAGTTTTTGACTTTGACCTTTGAAATAGGAAGTTGTACATACATTATGACACACCCTCTGGTGTTGGTTAATATACATGTCAAGTATAAACTTTGAAATCATAATGGTTCTCTAGATATAGAGTGGACACAATTTGTTATGGATGGATGGATGGACGGACAGACAGACGGACGGACGGACGGAGACGGACTGATCACTGTAGGGCATCCGCCATTATGCGGGGCCCTAATTATGTCCCTTGTTAATATTAATTGTATGGAAAATTGCATTGTAAGAGCTTCCAAACCTTCATCAGATTGTTCATTTCTCTTAAGATATTTCTAAAAAGTTTTTAAAGAGCCAAAATCTTTATTTTGATTTATTGTCCTTGGACAGATGAAGTATGTGCAACGAGGGGGACAATGAAACTCTGTTCTTTTATTCAATCTTAATGCATCTTGGACTCATCAGTTTTGGCAATGATGAGTCCAGACAGATTGTCATGAGTCTAGGACTCACGGTCTTGCCTTAGTGAGAACCCGTACCTTGTATAATGCATTACTGTGGTAACATGTTAGTTATTTTTATGTAAAAGTTTTATTTACATATTATATACTTAACATGCTTAATAGATGAAGAAAGATTCTGAAGTTAGAGGAATGGATTCTTTATGTGAAAGGTTTGAAAGCTCTAGATGTGATTCATTCAATTCTAGTGCAGGTTCAGATGCAGAATCATCACAGAGACCAAGGATAGAAGAATTTCTTAGTAGAAGATGGCTTGGTCAGCATGCTGGAGAACTTCTGCTTGACCTTCATGCTTTTGTTAATCCGACAGAAATGACAACATTATCATTTCCTGGAATAATTGTGAACAAAACAGAGGTAAATAGTTAAACTGTTTAAGGATGTTCGCTCCTCTTGTTTTTGAATTTTTGCCAGATATTCAGAATCCTCTGGTTTTATCCATGTAGTACCATTAAAAATTTTTGCCCGCAAACCCCTACTTTTCTTTTCATAATTTGATTGAATATAGTTTAAAATGCCATCTTTGAAAATCTTATTAAATCCTTGTTATTTTTTTTCATACTAATACTTTTAGACAGAAAAAAGGTGCCAATGTTAACTGTATGAAAAATCTAGAGAGAATCATTTCCTGCCAAATTTTCAATGGCTTATATCTCAAAAACAAGCACACGGATCCTTCATTTTTATCTGCTTTTTTAGTTCCTTTATTTATATACTATCAATTTCATGAATTTATAACAGTCTTTTAAAAAGCTTATTATTTTGAAACAGAGTAGCAAACATCCTTAAATTCTTTTCATAAATAACGTAGGTGATGGAAGTTTTGAAAAATTTGTAGGGCAGAGCATCATCACCATCAAACACCTGCACACACAGCCGCACACCGCTGAATGCAACTGAATTCAGGGGTTAAGAAATCCACTAGCCCGACGCCCAGGACTAGACATTTACACCTCAACAATCAAATATGCCCGACGGACTAGTAACAAAAAATTCTTGGCGTTTCCAAAATACAAAGTGGAAAATCCCTTCGTCTCTATTCTATCTTAGCCAATCAAATTCAATTACGTCATCCAGGATTCCAAGAATTTGAACTGATTTTGTATGTTTTAGGGGGACAATCATTTAACAAATATGTTAAAAATAGAACAAATGACTCTGGGTGGACCGGTATCATGTATTGATTGCAATTTCTGTACTATCATCATCAATTTCTCGGTACGTAGAGTATTGTACATTGCTCAAGCTGAGACTTTCAATTAATGCTGGGAACAGTATATCTAACAATATATATGTTCCTGATTAATGGTACTGGCGTTAATACCTTATGATGCATTGATTGATGTGAACTGTTACTTGTAAGAATGATTTAGCCTTTCAGAAATACATATTAACATAAAGTTCTAAATTAATGATCTATTAAAAAATTTAAAAAAAAGAGTGAATTGAAAATTCGACAGAACCACGTTGTTGAAACTGATCAGGTTTGATTTGCTGGGCTAGCAGTTCTGTCAACAGGACTAGTAAATCCTGCTACCAATAAGTCCTGGGCTAGTGAGCTGTAACAAAAATGTTTAACCCCTGTCAGAATACTTTAGAATACCGTCTAACACATCTAAATATATTGTTTTCATTTTTACATATCCTCGCTGGGCTTCCAAAATGTTGTATATGACATTTTTGACTAAAATTACATTTTCACACAAATCGTCTTGGCGGGAGGCATTCTTTGATGCTCCAAAATAGCATACAGTAAGACCAATCAAAACATTTGAAAAAAAGACTTGTGACAAAATTGCCAATCTCAACTACTTGTAAAGTTTGTTTCCAAAATGTTGTATGTTAACTTGAAAAGTGTTGTATAATGGTTTCGGGAATCAAATTCTTGTACATTTCTATATTTCTGTTCAAATAACTTTTAGTTTTTAAGCATGTTAAGTAATCCACAGACGTCATAGTTTTTATTTCAGTGCCATTTACAAAAATATTCAGGTTCACTTATGACATTTTGGAAGTTTGCATTTCAACCAAATTTTCAAAGCCTGTTTTTTTTTTTTTGAAAAATTTGTAATTTACAACATTTTGGAAGCCCAGCGACGATATGTTTGTATATACATTTCTCTAATTCTTCGTCAATTTATCCCTTTCTGCACCCATTGTATAAAAAAAATTTAATCAACGTGTGGTTCGTTTTATCTCAGTTCTTCATTGGTTAAAATCCGATTCTGACGTCGAATTTACTTGCTTTCCTCTGAATTTCCTATTGTGACGGCATGAAAAAAGGCGACCATGCCTGATGACGTCACATAGAAAGAACACATCTTTTTACAGATCATTTGAAAAGAAGGAATAAATTTGCCTGCGTATTGTTTGAAAATCATTAGAGAAACAGATTCCACCACCAAATCTCGTGTAATACGACATTTATCCACTCTTGACAGTTAAATTTTAAATATTTAAAACGCTCGGCGAGCCTAGCGTTTTAAATTTGAAAATTTAACTGTCTCAAGTGGATAAATATCGTATCACACTCGATGCAGTGGTAGAATCTATATATATATATTGCCTCCAATTTCACTTTGATAGATTCACATGTCTAGTGAAGCTAGTTTGTTCAGGGAAATATTGTGTATTTCAATTTAAAATCTAATAGAACTTTTTAATGTATCAACATGATCAATAAGTGTGTTATATTCTTAGACATTTATATAATTTTTATTCAGTTTATTTTCACAAGCTGATACACGCCTACATAGAACGGATGTTGCTATTTTTAGACATCATGTTTATAAATTTTTAATATATATTTGACTTACCTTCTGAACAAAGATGAATTTCAAAAAAACATGTACCTAGTTTTTTTGATTTTGGGCCAAGTTTTAAAGTTGGTCCAAATCAGGGTCCAAAATTGAACTTGTTTGATTTCAACAAAAATTAAATTGATGATGTGTTGAATCTAACTGTGTGTTTTAATTTTGGTTGTTTGACCCATTATCAAATTGGTCCACATTGAGGTCCAAAATTAAACTTTTATATATAAAACTAAAAAGCAAATAATAATGATATGGTTTGATTTCATCAAAAATTGAAATATTGGGATTCTTTGATATGCTGAATCTTATTGTTTATTTAGATTCTTAATTTTTGGTCCCGTTTTCAAATTGGTCTACATTAAGGTCCAAAGGGTCCAAAATTAAACTTAGTTTGATTTTAACAAAAATTGAATTCTTGGGGTTCTTTGATATGCTGAAACTAACCGTGTATTAATTCTAACCATGTATTTAGATTTTTGATTTTTGGGCCCGTTATCAAATTTGTCCACATTGAGGTCAAAAGGGTCCAAAATTAAAAATTTAACTTTGTTTGATTTCATCAAAAATTGAATTCTTGGAGTTCTTTGATATGGGGAATCTAACCATGTAATTAGATTTCAATATTTTTCAAAATTTATATTGTAAATATTCACTGCAGTCATTCATAAATAAATGAAAAAATTATATTTTATTCCCTTACATCCAATCACAGCCTTCCTTAAAGTTGACTTCCTTCACCTGCCTTGGGTACGTTCAAAAAAGGCCAACCTAGAGTAGGGAAAATTCAATACAGTTCTTACTCCTGCATTAGATTGCAAGTACATGTAGAAAATATACATTTTTGTAATACTAATATTTTCCTCATGGCTAACTTTCTTGTTTTCCATTGCAGGTAATCCTCACATTATTAGAAATATCCCGTGATCATCTACAGAAGCTTGAAAGTGATACTGACAAACTTCTAGATCAAAGGGGGACAATCTTTTATTCTAAACCATTTGACATTATGGATTGTGAAGATAGATCTGTTCTGATTGATAGTCTTATTAGGCTAAATAACATTGAGAATCAGATCAATAAATAAAGTTGTATTAATGTTTTTCTGCATTATTTTGATGTCACAGAAAAGAGAATAATAGACCAAAATTACAGAAAAATGGGACCATAAAATAAAGATTAGAGAAAAGTTGCCCCATAAAATAAAGAATGGAGAATAATGGCGTATTAACATGTAAAAAATAGAGAATATTGAACAAATAATATATAGTTTTGAGAATAATGGCAAAAAATATAAAAAAAAGAGTTAAACCACTTGAAAAATTAAAGAATATAGAAACGAAGGACCCCAATCCAGACCTTTATCTATTGGTTTTAAGATTTTTGTCAAGCCTGCGACTTCTGTCGCAGAAAGCTCGACATGGGGATATAGTTATCCAGCGGCGGTGGTGGCGGTGGCTGCATTAAAAGAGGGACGAAAGATACCAGAGGTACAGTCAAACTCATAGATCGAAAATAAACTGACAACGCCATGGCCAAAAATAAAAAGACAAACAGACAAATAATAGTACACAAGACACAACATAGAAAACTAAAGACTAAGCAACACGAACCCCACCAAAAACTGGGGGTGATCTCAGGTGCTCCGGAAGGGTAAGCAGATCCTGCTCCACATGTGGCACCCGTCAAAAACTATTCAAGATAGAATCTTAACATTTTGAATGAGGTTAAAAGATACAATGTTAAATATTTAAAACAGAAAACTGACATCCTGATGTATCATTATATTAGATGTATATTAGGCTTACATAACAAAGACCAATTGTAATTGTCCCCGTTATTGTTTTTCACCCGATATTTTCCAAGTAAAACAATTTGAATAAACATTTATTAAAAAAAAAAAATTAAAATACATGGTAGTCATTTTGGGGTTCTCCCACTCAGGGGCACCTCAAGAATCTGTGCATATTTTATGTTGCATTATAAGGTACATCAACACAGTCCCTCGAGCTGTTTTGGCTTAATCTGTGACAACTTCTTTATGTACATCAAGTTTATCAGGTTTAATCACCCCATTACGTTTTCGTCCCATATACACTAGAAGAATGTTTTTAGAGGCAGTAAATCCTTCATCACTTAATTGATATTTATGAGTTCGCATGTGATTATTTAAGTTGCTTATTGAATTAAACTGTTCCGAACACATCTCACATTTATAAGATTCATCACTAATCGGTACATGTATTCTCATGTGTAGTAGTAGATCTGTATCTTGAAAAAAACTTTTATAACACACACCACATATATATTGTTTATTACCAGTATTAGACCTCGTGTGTTCCTGATCAGTGTTGAAGTCATTTCTGACATTTGCCATTATGTTATTGACATCAAATTTATCAGGTCCATTCCTAGTATGTTTTTTCAAGTAATCTCGTAGTATGCTTTTTGTTTTTGGCAAAGTAAAACTTTTATTACACATGTTACATTTTCGCATGTGCGTCTTCAAATGGCGTCTTTCAATAAATGATTTACCACACACTTTACATTGAAAAAGTTCTTCACCGGTATGTATTTTCATGTGGTCATTTAAGTTGCGTCTTTGGTTAAAACATTTACAGCAAATATCACATTTGTATGGTTTATATCCAGTATGTGTTCTCATATGCACCTTTAAATTGAACATTTGATTAAATTCTTTACAACAGATGTCACAATTAATCAGTGTATCTCTAGTATGTGTTCTCATGTGTAATAACAAATGTTTATCTCGGCTAAAACTTTTATAACATATACCACATATAAATTGCTGGCCAAAAGTAATGTCAACATTAGTTCTTTTGTGTTCCTGGTCAGTGTTTAAATCATTTCTGAAATCATTGACACTAGTCATTATGTTATTTACATCAAATTTAACCGTTTTAACACAGGTTTGTTTTCTCAAATACTCCTGCAGTCTGTTTTTTGATGCAGTAAAATTTTTAACACATATTGCCATGTGGCTCTTTCAAAAAAGTCGCGGACGGCGGTTTTTAAATTCTTATCACATACTTTACATTGAAATCGTCCATCACCAGTATGTACTGTCATGTGGGACTTTAAAGTACTTCTACGACTAATGTTTTTACAGCAAACATCACATTTATAAGGTGTATATCCTGTATGTGTTCTCATATGCACCTGTAAATTGAACATTTTATTAAATTCTTTACAACAGATATATCACATTAAAGGTTTATCCCCAATACATTGCAATATGGACGAGTAAGTAACTTTAGAAGATTCCTGTATGTTTGCATTTTGATTTTGCCAGCATTGATCATAATGTTTTTGTTTTATTTAACTTAATTATAAACATGATAAAATAGTGCTGGTTTGTTGACACCTCAATATCCACAAGAAATCCGAAATGTAAAATATTTTTTTAGTTTTGTTAATCTACAGGTTTGAAAAGTATGTATATCCATGTGGGTATGGTTGAAGGTTTCTCTTTTTATGTTTCTTTTAGTTACAGCAGTGTTAGTTTTTTTGTTTTTGTTTTAAACATAAAAAGAAACGTTATCCTGGCGTGCCATATATATTATATTTTTATAATTCAACCAAGACTGACTAAATCATTTATAATTTAAATATGTTTATGCTAAACATTTGTCAATTGATAACAATGAAATTTAATGGTTGTGGTTTAATTGAGAAAAGAAAGCTTTTAACACACTCTCTTAAAATACAATGTGAATATTTTTATCATATCGTTTATTCATTGTAACCCCAATAAATTTTGAAAAGCTAACATTTTTTGCATTGTGTGTGTATGTTAATGTATTTTGTTAATAAATGTAATTTGCGATATACAATTTACTCACTTCTCTTGGTAAAATTATAATATTTCAAATTTTTTCAGCCAACATTGGCAACAAATTGAAAATTTTACAAATGTATAAACAATGCAAGGGTGATAATTTCATTTAATTCCATATGGACCGCCAGTTTACCATTATCTCTCCATATTAGTGTATTTTATTTTAATAAGCCTGTATTTGTAATGTCCATCACCAGAATATAGTTTTCGAAAAGTTTGATTTTACGTTTGTTGTCCCGTGCTTGAAATGACCACTATCATCCGGTCGGGCTAGTCACATTTTGTCTGGCGGTCTGTTCCACCTTTATTCATTGTTCAAGTTAACCCCACACTTATATTCATGTAGTAGCCGTTTACTCTGAGACGTACTATAGGGATACATTGGGATTGTTCTTCATATTCATGTGATATTTGGGTTAAGTGTTAAATATATCGAGTGATTTCCCGTTCGAGATGCAGCTTGATACTTGTAGTATGAAACCGATGAGACAAATAACACATTGAACTTCTACCAGAACAATTGCGTTTGCGATTTGTGAATTCTCCTGTAAGTATTAGTACACAGCCTGCTATTTCTGTCTTTTTACGATCCAGATTGTTTCTCATGTTGGTCAATATAGTCCGATACTATGAAAGTATGACTGCGATCAAGGTCAAAGGTTGACATCTGGTTGGACTTAAGAGCAGACTAGTCACTCCTTATCAACTGTTCGAGAAAGATTCTAGAAGCTACTTGTTACTGGATATTTGGGTATAATAACCATCTGATATATAATTCTCGAATACACAGGTTTCAACCATTTTGAATGAACTGTTGTCATAAACCGGTAAATAATATACCTAATAAAACTTTAAAATATTCTAAAGACGGGCATAACTACAATAGAAGTCCTAGAACGAAAGCATAGGCCGAACCCTACCCTAGATTTAGACTAAAGGAAAAGCTGTTGGGTTGCTGTCTAATAGGTACCAAGTCCTGTTAAGTGTCCATGGACAGTACCTCGGCTTCGTTTCAGTTCACTAAAACAAAACTTTTTGACGAAAATGCAACGAACTAGAAAGTTGTCTATTATATATGGGGAATTTGAGCTATTACTTTTTATTTCAAAATATGTTATCTTTTCAATCTGTTGACCTATTTTTATTAAGGCAGTGGCTATTTTGCCGTCACCGGCAAATCAGAAAATATATGCTATTTTGCCGGCTTTGATTAAATATCTTAATTGAAGCCGGCAAAATTGCATATTTCTATAGAAATGACTATTTTACCGGCACTGGTCACATCTCAATGATACTCTTTTCCTACAAGTTTAAGAAACTGAATAGGCAATTTATTGAAATTTGTCTAACAATTCAAGTCGTTTTCTAAAATGACTATACTAAGGTATTTTTATATAATGCCTGTCAGGGTTAGGCATTTTGTCAATTGCCGGAAAATTCAGTCATTCATAAAATGCCTAAATCAAGAAAATGCCTGTAAAATATACATATCTCTCTAATACAAATTTTAAGAAAAATTCAATGGTGAAAAAAGTTGCTATATCGAATGCAGAGGCTGTAGAGAAGCTTCATAAGAATGAAAATTTCACATCTTTTGTCGTACATCAATCATCATAATTTTAACAACTCAATTTACTACTCAAAGAAAGTTTTGCATCATTTCTATTGGAATGAATTGGGTGTAACACTTTGAGGGCTATTATCTTTGAAGCAAATGCCAAAACTAAGCCGAAGAAAACGGTGTTCCTGTTTAAAAGGATGTTGAATCAATTCAAGAATAAAATAAAAAAATTATGATAAAAGTTTTGGGGGTAAAATAATTTTTTCAACTAAACCATGTGTATTTTTTTCAAATTGTGACTTTAAATGTTGATCCCGTCACTAAAATTTGCAACTGTTAATGACGTCTTTTACGCTAAATCCATTTGATGTTGTATGTGTACTGATTGATATTTTAGTGTTGGTTTTGAACTAGCCATCAGTAACTGCGAGTACTTTCAGATCTGTACGTTGTGTCTTTTTTGTTAAATATATAAATCCCCTACCACGTTTGGTCTGTGTTGTTGTTGTTATTTTTCTGCTTTGTATCGATCTGATGAGTTAAGCCCTTTTCAACTGATTTTTATAGTTTGTTCTTATGTTGTACCACTGTCCTATGTTAAGGAAAGGCTATCGCACATTCTGTATGTGCCTGTCACATGTCAGGTGCGTGCATATCAACGGCTGTCGTTGGTTCATGTCCGTTATTCATATAAGGGCCTTTTCTGGACGACTATATACGGTATGGTTTTATATCATTGCTGAAGGCCGTACGGTTGCCTATAATTGCTTAGATCCGCTTCATTTGAACTTTGGTGAATAGTTGTTTCATTAACAATCATACCACATCTCTTTATATTTGTAGTGTAGCTGTTTGAAATTTGAACAACACACCTGTAGTACTTTTGAATACTAAATGATTGAAAATTAAGAAAACACAAACTTCGATATGCTCCTCTGGACGTTACGAAATGATTTATAACGAGTAACATGATGGGTGTAATTAGTCATGTCAGTAGATCTGGAACTACTTACCAAATTTCACTTCCGGTTTTACGGCTCTTGTTACTCTTTAGTGCTTTGTTTACTTTTGTTTTGTCATTTCATTTTTTCCCTTTAGACCAAGGTGTTTTATTTTCATATAGGACTTTTTTTCTTTTTGGTTTCTTTTATCTCATTTTTATTTGGGCAAAGAGCATTATGATGACGAATAACTTCTTATTAAGAGGGGTGAGTAGCTACATTTTATTACATGTCTGCAATATAAAGATATGAGCTAGCCAAGGTCTGACTTTAAAGGTAAATCTAGAAAAGCGCTTTGGACACATACAATTTATAACGTTTTTTTTTAATTTTTTTTTCGAACAGTATTTGAATCACTTTTTTCAAAATCAAGAATGCAGACACCAAAGAAACAATACAAAAGCAGAAGCGAAGACCAACAGAAAATACAATACACAACAAAAAAAACAACAAAAAGACAATCAACAGTCTAAAACACTAAACTGAAAATTGAGAACTGAGCAACACGAACGCAACAAAACCAGGAATAATCGTAAGTGTTCCTGGACAGTAGGCAGATTCAGCTCCACCATTTGTCGTGGTGCATTTTTTGAAAAACATGTTTAATAAGAGTTATTATGTAATATGTATACCCATTTATACTTTACTTTTCAATTGTCAACTTCCCATTTCTCAGTAAAATTATATCATCTAACCAATCATATGGTGTATACATATCTTATTTCATATGTTACGCTCGAAGAATTAACATTTAAATACAATTATTTGAAATATATAAAATTGAAGAATTTAAAAACAAAATCTGAATCACAAATATTGACAGTGCATTTAATTGAAAAAGACATCTGCATTGCTGTTCCAACTAACTCAGACTCTTTAACCAATCCTTTACAACCTGGAAGTTATTATCCATCCACTTGATGTTAGCTCTTGTTGTCTCAATTGCTCTGTCGAATGCTGCTGCTGAATTGCCTAAATTTTGAATACTATCCTTAAAGGTCTGAATCTGTCAATAGATTAATATAGATATGCTAAATGGAGAATGATAGGCAAAATAAAACACAACAAAAATATAAAACAATATGAAAAACAAAATATTACAAAAAAACTTCATAATGCAGAACCTATTTGTTACCTATTCTGACATCGGACTCGGACTTCTTTTAAACTGAGTTTTACTGTTTGTATTGCTATGTGTTTCTTTTTCTATATTGACTAGAGGTGTAGGGGGAGATTTGAGATCTCACAAAAATTGTTTACCCCCCACCCCCACCCCCCCCCCCCACCCCCCCCCCCCCCCCCCCCGCATTTTTGCGCCTGTCCCAAGTCAGGAGCCTTTGGCCTTTGTTAGTCTTGTATGTTTTTAATTTTAATTCATTTATATGTTTTGGAGTTTAGTGTGACGTCCATTCGCACTGAACTAGCACACACTTTTATTTAGGGTCCAGCTGAGGACCACCTCCGGGTGCGGGATTTTCTCGCTGCATTGAAGACCCATTGGTGATCTTCGGCTGTTGTCTTCTCTTTGGTCGGGTTGTTGTCTCTTTGACATACATGTATTCCCCATATCCATTCTCAATTTTAGAATAGGAAGATACACGGCGGATCATATACTTATACATTTATTTAGATATTTATCGACGTTTAGTATGAATACTCTAACATGTCTAATACAGTATCAGTAACAATGTTCATGTCAATGTATCAGTTCTAAATATATATAATGATAAGTGAATACTACAAATGAATCTAAATATTAAGCAAACACAGCATATAAAAACAATCTGGACATACGTTTTGATATTGTATTTGTATTGTGTCATAGATAAAATTTATTCGTAAAGTGAATTTGTACTTGGTTTCGTTTAAATGTCTTTTTGATCGAGTTAAGCCATTTCAATTGATATTTTATAGTTTATTTTTATGTTGTAATGTTACACTACAGTCTCAGGTTAGGGTGATAGTTGGCGCCTGTTAAAACATCTAAACCCGCTGCGTTTTTATGCATCTGTCCTGAGTCAGGAGCCTGTTGTTCAGTGGTTGTCGCGTGTTTGTGTGGTTCAAAGGTGTTTCTCGATTCTCGTTTTTTATATAGATTAAACCGTTGGTTTTCCTGTATGAATGATTTTTCTAGTCATTTTTGGGCCCTGTACACCTTGCTGTTCGGTGTGATTTAAGGCTCCGTGTTGAGGCCGTACTTTGACCTATAACTGTTCACTTTTTACATCGGATGTGACCTTGAGAGGTCATACCGGTGTTATGTTGCCGCAGACATTTCCTTACGCTTTTGACTGATAACCGAACGTATTGTGTATAAATACGCAGATATTTTTGAGTGCAAAATAACATTCCTTATCACTTGTAATAAATGCATTTCTTCAACGAATACTAATGAAAATATTTTTAAATAACATAGATAAATAATATGAAAACGTTTTGTCGTGAGCAATATATATATATATCAGTAACATATCATGAATACCGAAAATTTGTGTTAACGCATGCGGAAGAATAT